GTGTAGCTTCAGAATGGTATACATCTGCCAAAGTAAACATCAGTATTTTGGCTGCTAACTCAGTAGCATATTTTGGCTTAATTTTTGGTCCCCTCCAAAAAAAATTCTAAGAACTAAGATCAAGTGAAGAGGAGTGTGGACAAGGCTGACTTATAAGAAACATTTGAATTGGGGTCATCACAGGAAGAAGAAAAGGAAGTAGACAAGATATATTAATGTTTTCATCTCTCTTATCCTATTTGAGCATTCTACTCAGCATAATTTTCAATCTTTGTTTTTAATTTCTAAATGCCATTACATAAATATAGCCTCCTTCTTTGTCAGTTCCATTACAAGACACTTTTTCTTAAATATATAGTCTTTTGGGGAAACAAATGACACATTTTAGCAATTTGATCTTTCTTGTATGATTTATAATTTCATCCTTCATATTTAAAGTTTCTGATCCTTTTGACCATTTGCACTATGTTCACTGCTTTCAAATTTGCTAATTTTTTAAAACAATTGATAGGTCAAGGATAAATATTCAGTGCAGTATTTTGATTTGAAGATCCCCTGCCTTTTGGTTATTTTACAATGAACAACAGCATTGACAAGCAGTATTTGTGGAAGAAACATAAGATAAATGAAAAATAAGTATTTTCTGCTCTGTATAAGGATAAAAGAGATAGCTAGAGTAGGGTTCAGATTATTGGGAGAATTAGTCTCTAATGTAATAAAAAGAATTATTCATTTGAACAAATATTCATGACTCTTGATTAGCTCCTATTATAACAAATATTATACATTGCTTTTACTATCCTGAAATAAATTCTACAGATAACATAGTCTACCTACTTACAAGATTCTTCAATAGTCATAATGCTCCACTTTAACATATAGAAAGAATCAAAAGCAATTCATAATAAAAAATAATATGCATTTCAATATTTAAAGTGCTCAGGCAAATCTACCTGAGAAGCTGTAATAGAGTAGTCAGATACTTGGTCCTATGCATATAGAATGAGTTTGACAGCTACAAATGCAGACTGATACAGGTGTGCTTATTGGCAACTCAAGTACCATGGGAAGTGGTGCCATCAATGATGAGATTTTTTCATAGGGTAAACCACTCTTGGTAATATTCTGAAAAACATAAAGTACACAGTCCCTTCAATTTACATGGTAGTTGCATTCCTGCAAAACTCAGTGTATATTAAAATCATGCAAAAAGTACTTTGAGATTATTTGTAAAACAGATTTAAATTCTAAGCCTATATAATTATAAACAGGTTTTTTTGACTACATGAATAGCTGTGGAACATTCAAAAATCGTGTGGGATGCAGAACAATTCGTCATCATGCTGTACTGCCCCGCAAATTACAGGATGTCCACCATCCCTGACCTTCTCCCACTGAAAGCCAATAGCACCTTCCAATCATCTTAGCCACCAAAAATACCCCGACAAATATCCAAAATGCCTCTAGAGGCCACTACCATCCCCATTAATAACCACTGATTGAGACTGAGCAAAGGTACTTTTTGTAATGATGCACTGTCATCCTTAACATTTTACTTCTATACTGAATTGATTTTATAGGTTGGGAAACTGAATTCACCCCAAAGGTGAATTATCCAGTTAAAACAAGGCTGCCAATCCAAAGGGATATAGAAATCATTCCTAGAGAACTTGGCAGATATTAAATGTGGAAAAACCCTTTATTCCTTACATTGTGTGGACCTCTCTGGATTAGGAAAATGGGGTTTGAAAAGTGAGAAGTTCACAGTCCCTAAAATGGGGGACTTACGATAAGGGTAAAGCTGTGGTACTGAAAAGTCGAGGTCCTGACTGTAAAACCATGTTTATCTCCTGCAAATTACATGGTTAGTGCTAAATGGACTAGTTTCCCTGTTACCAGTACATCATTGCAGTTTATTAATAAATGGCTGCTTTTTTGATTAACCTAAATTTCCACCTTTTATATTCTTTTATGAATAAATAATTTAATGGCCTAATGTTTCTGCACTGATGTAATGAAAAGCAACCCTCTTAAGTTCCCTAAAGTGATATATATATTAAGTACCAGAAAGCTGCTCTCAGAAGTTTCCTTTCACTGAGCATTGTCATGAATAGATTTTCATATTAATTTATAAATATTTTCATTGAACTTTAGCCCTAAATTTTTGAACATGGTTCCCAAACAAGTTCTTAAAATTTGTCTGTGCAGCCCCAGATAGACATGCAGTTATCCAAGTTCCAAAAGCTATTTTTTAATTATTAAAAATCCACTTCCAAATATTTAGAAAAGACATTTTTGTATGATGTATGTTACCATTCCTTAGTTTAGGGAGAATTCTGTCTTCTCCACCCCATTCTCTGTAATTCAGTTGCTAACCTACCTTATTACCTTTACTCCTAGCAATTTTCCCTCCTCTGACAGAAGCACACATTCTCATTATTTATACTCTTAAATTGCAAGAGTAAATGTTGAGTGCCAGTTCAGGTACTCAGTTATCTCAGGGACTTTGGTCTTTTCAGCCCAGGACTAATCAAGTAGAGAGTCATCATAAGCGAAAACTAAAAAGCTTTTGCAGTGGTTTTATCACCATTGAAATTGTTCATCCTTCAGAAAGATTGTCACCCAGGAAAGAAGAAATAAAGGAGTTAAAATTGCTTCAGACCATTGACTCCTTAGGTCCCTCTAGATTCATAGATTGAATTGGTTTTCAAGGGGTGGGAGGAATCATGAGAGGAATTCCCTGAGAAAGCTTACAAATTGATCATAGCCTTGGTAACACTAGTAGGTGTAAGTGTGATCACTATGGAGGACATGCCAAATGTGGCTGGAAGCTTGGGGAATGGGAAAGAAAAGAGACAATTAACACCTTTTTTTTTTTTTTTGGCTTATTGTGTTTGGGGGTGGGTGTGCCATGTAGTATGCATCTGCCAATGGTCTTTCAAAAAGAAGAGATACAATTGATTTTAAAATATTTTATTATTGAAGTACAATTTAGTAGTTATTATTGAACTGAAACTAAGCAAGCACTGTAGAAACAGAGACAGACATTTCATAAACCTATCCAGAAAGTGGTCCCCATTTTAGATAGACCCACAAAATATCATTTAAAGTAGACATATCTGAGCATATATAGAACTGCTCACTTAGGTTTGGAGAATATAAAATCCTCCAAATTCAAAAGAATCCTTTGTCATTTGAATAAGTCAAAATTATAATAATAAAAATGTCTAGTTATATATATTTTAAGGAACTTGAGATTTTTCACACCTATTGATGCAGGCAGGCATATATATAATTTTTTCCCCAAGAATCCTATTAAGAATTGTCAAAATCCAGTTAGGCGGCTTTAGGATTTACCAGGATAAACCAACACTCATCCCTCCTTCCCATTGAATAACAATGAATTTTGCCCTAAACAGTAAGCAAATAGAGGAATGACCTCATTTTTTAGGCTGAATGCAGTAGTGTAGAGGGATATTTCTCAAGTATATGACTTCAATACTGGATCTTAGTTTCAAATGCAAGTTCAGAAGGCCAGTCTGCAGAGGAGAGGAGGATAGAGAGCATCCTTGTGAGGGCCCCTATAAAGAGAGGGTTTCTCTACTAGGGCCAGGTCCCACAGCTAAGTCACATGCACAGACTGTAGCTTTCTGCTCTCTGGCGGACTGCAGCCATAGCATCCTTATTGTTGTAACTCCCAGATTGTGATACTGTCACAAAACTGTTGCTAGGCAACAAATGTGGTTACCAGGTCTCAGCGAATAGCTGAAGGGGAAAGCAAAGTGTTGCACCATTGTAGAGTAACCATAGCAATGACCTACTATTACAGACTAAAGAATTATCATTAACAATGTTAAAGTATCAGACAGAGGCCCTGAATCCGGAGACTTCCAAGCAGTATCTCTCTGCATAATTGAGTGATCCAAGAGGAGATTTCAACTGTTTCAAAGCTATTCTCACTCATAATTTCTATGGAAGAGTCTTTGTAATTTTTATTTTTTAATTCAAAAAATTGTTCAGTTATGAAGCTACTAGTAAAATGCTATAAGCCATCACAAGGAGTCAAAATAGATTAATCTATTTCCTCATCTATTCTTATGCCTACATCAATATTATTTGCTGCTTGTGTTAAACTCTAGGTAGATTTGATTTGAAAAATACTGTACATGTGTATTAAATCGCAGTCACATAAAGAAGCTGTAGTAAAATAACCCCTTAAATTGACAACTAACTTGTATTTTTTAAGTTGAATTCCTCCTGACAAAATGAGAGGCCTAGATGCTCTTTAGTAGTCACTGCTTTGAAACATTGTTTTAGCTTTTCTAAATTCTCCTTAAAACCTGTAGGTATAATCTTTTCTGAATCTGGCCCTTCACTAAGCATCCCATATGATTTGGTCCCAGTGACCTGGCTGAGGTAAGCATGTCTAACAGCACAGCTTCCGGGAGAGACAAGAAAAATCCATTTTTTTCCCTTGGGAAGCAAGGAAACTTGGGTGCTCCGGGTGGGAGTAGAAGCGGGATCCCGCGCGCAGGGGAAACCAATCCCCGCGCGCGCCGGGTCCGGGGAAGTGGGTGGTTTCCAGGCGGGAGAGGGCGTGGCCCCGGCCGCCGCGCGCCCCCATTGGCCCAGAGGGGCTGAGGCCCCGGGCGCCCGGCCGCGCCGCGGGCGACCCGCGCGACTAGTCGGGGCCGCGTCTCCGCGCCGGGAACTCAGGCCGAAGGCGACCCGAGGCCCCTGAATGGCCGCGGGCCCGAGGACGTGGCGGATGTCCGCGCTGCCCTGAGCCTTGGGGGCAAAGTGAACCCTCGAGTAGAGGCGTGCCCTGGGGAGGCCGCGCACTGGCGGGCCTCGCCTCCCCGGCGTGGCGAGCCCGGAGTCGCGAGCCCGCGAGGGGGCGGGGGGCCCTGTGCCTCGGCTCGGCCTGGCTGCCGCCGCCCCCACCTGCGTCTGGCCCGGAGCGAGGCCACCTGGTAACCGAATCTGTGGGTTTTTTGCAGGCACCGACCGTCACGAGCTAACTTCGTGGAAGAGCTTCCCGTCTATTTTCAAATTCTTTACCGAAGCCTCTGAGGCCAAGACCAGTTCCCTGAAGCCGGCTCTGACGCGACGCTCCCACCGAATTAAGCACGAAGAGCTGTAAGAGGAGAGCGAGCGAGACGGGGGAGGGGAAGGCCAGGAACCACACTCGAGCATGCATCCACGCGTCTCCTAACTGCTTGTTGTCGGCGAGCAGACTCCCAGCCCCTCATTAGATTGTTTTCTTCCTAGAGCACAGGGTCGTGATATATACATCTAAATAGCGTTTTGCATTATTTCTAGATGAGTGCAACTGTCAAAGCAATATGGGTTCACTGGTCGTGCTTCCTGCGGGCTGAGCTCGGGCTTCTCGCTGCCCGTCAGCGCGCAGATTAAGGCTGACAGCGCCCTGCCCCGCGCGGCCCGCGCAGCTCTAATTGCCCTGACGGAGCCCGCGCCGGCGCTGCGGGGTGCGCGGTGTCTGCGCGGTCCTGCCGCCCGCCGCAGCGCAGCCGCTGCTGCTTCCCCCTCCTTAATCATGTCCATTCCCCCCCCTCCACCCCACCCCGCCTCCGAACAGGAGCAAACTTATTCTAGACTTCAAACTTTCATTTTAACTAGGTTTTTCCCTGAGGGCGTCTTATGCCTTTTTTTTTTTTTTTTTAAGGAAATTCCCCCCCACACGCACAGAAAAGTCAAATTTAAATTCAGAACATGAATGCCACGATGTACTACGGAGTTTGGGGAGTGTAAATTGTTCTCTCCTTAACGATCCATTTTCATTTCGAGACCAAAAGAACTTTGCGTAAAAATCTATAAAGTACCAAATCCGCACTACTGCTGAAAATCCTCTCGAGTTGATTGCGAAATTTTACCCGAGTCTCTAATTTCAGAAGAGACTGTTTAAAACATAATGATGAGCAGATCTTTTAAGGGTAGGTGTGAAAGGTCCCATTTTCCATGGAATTTCCAACTTTATCATTAGAATTGACTTTACTTTTTAAATATATGATGTGTATTGAGTGTCATTGTAATTTAGATAACACACTTAAGTTTTGCTGTTTAAATCTTAATGTGGAGAAAATTTGTTGTTAATCCTTACTAGAAGAGCTATTCTGAGCTTTCCTGGAGTTAGGCCCTTTTAGGGATAGAATATTTTATTGTCATCAGGAAAATAAACCTATGTACGCTGGAGCCTTTTTCTTCTGAAAGACTAAGTTGGGCTAAAATGATTCTTTTAGTTTTCTGCTCTAATAGGAAGAGAGAGATTTGATGTGAAAGATTTTTCTCCTCTCCATCCAATGGTATAATTTTTAGTACTCCACTTCCTCTGTAGGGTTTTTCCCTACATTTTCAACAGTTAAATATTTTAATCCAGCTAAGATCTGGCCAACACTGTGAAATACAAGAGATAAGTTAAGGTTTTGCTGACTTTTAAATTAAAATATTAAATATTAGCATTATCAATTTTTAATTACTTGAAGAATTTAATTACCTAGTGAAGATTATTTCTAATAGATGAGAATCCGAATTTAATATTTTTCATCCTTTTTTAAAGTGTATGCAACAATTAACATGCCTGCCTTATTTGAGGATATGATAAAATGTACCCAAAATGACTTAGAACTGTCTAATGCCTCAGAAAAAGAACTTAAAATCAACCACCTCATGGATAAATGTTTTTATATTACGAACTGATTTCAGCAAGTTTTAAAACTGATAATATCTCATTGCTGTGTTTGGCATCCAAGTACATTCATTAGTTCTGTAGTTTTAATGATGACAAATTAAAGTGATCTTTTTTCAGTGAGTCATGTCTGCATATCTTTTGATGTTATTTAAGCAGAAACAACATAAAAAATCAAAATGGCATTTTATTCAGCTACTGGATGATGTAAAATGTGTAAGCCCCAACAATGTCAAGCACGTTGGTCTGTGATGTTGACCCTTTTTATCCAGTCTTTCCTATTGTAGAAGTAATGGTGAATTGTGTAAAATAATGGTATCTTCCAGTGAGGGATTTGAGAATTGATGTGGATTGAATATATTTTTCAAAATGTTATAAATTGTGTGGTGTTTTCAGTATATGAAAATGTTCACAGGAAACTAATTTTATAGCTTTTTTAAAAAAACCAACACTTGTGCAACGCTACATTTTTGAAGCTTCTGCAGCTGAATTTAGAGTAAAATAAATATGCTCAGTTTATAAACCAAATCACTCCTATTCCTTTTCTGCAATTTTCTCACCTCTCTTTTTAAAAACTGTTACTTGTAACTAGAGTAAATCACTGTTTAATTGCCTTTAATACTTTAATACTTTAAAACTACTGGATTGTTAGGCCTTGTTTAACTGTCTGTAGAGAGCTATTTGCAAACTTAAGTTGTGTAAATGTAATTTCTGCTTGTGAATCTGAGCTGTGGCAACCCAGAGAGAGCTAGGCAAACCATTCCAGACCACCAACTGATTACTGATCAGATTCTTTGTTAATGTAGAATTTTTTAACCTGTTGATTATGGGTCTGTTGCTATAAATGTAATAATATTGTTCACCTCAATTTTCTTGAAGTAACAAGAGCAGTTGGTAGTAGCCCGCCTGCTTGGAGGCTGCAAGTGTTAACAATATTTTTGCCCTGATCTTCTCCTTCCCCATTTTGGTTTTCTTAGGATTTTAGGGGAGTAGAGTTTTAAAGTTAGGATGCAGCCATTTTATTTTAATTATATACTTCCTAGAGCAAATGGAATGGAAAAGGAGTTGTTGATAAAGCTAAGATTCAAAATACTCCTGTCAAAACTTAAAAGCCAGACAATTGCTTTGGAGCTTTCTACAGGTACCTAACCATGCAGTCGTTAAAAGTTTTCATGGATATTTGAAAAGAAGACCATCTACTTGTAATAACTGTTCTTTTCTCAAGTTTCAGCCTTGTGCTTCAACCTGGATTGCATTATTGTTTATATAAAAAAAAACACGCATTTCTCATATATATTTCTGTTTACATTTTAAAATAAAAATAATATTCCCAACAAGCAGTGTCATATTATTCTTGCTCAGAAGTTCCTTTATTCACCAACTCTATAGTGTTTAAAAGCAGAAGTGTAAAAGAGTGATGGCACAGCATTCATCAATATTTTAAACCTCATGGCTACTTATTATTACGATTATTATTGCTGTAGGGCAATATCCTAACTACAGTGGAGTCACTTTTTGGCTTGCACCTTTCGCAAAGCTAACATTTTTTAAGACATTTGTTTTTAGTATCTAAAATATCTCCCTAGCAAGGAAATTTGAACAACCTGTCATAAAACTATCGCTTTATAAAATAAACTTTAATATACCATAAATAAATGTGTTTTCCAAAAGGAGTCTGGTGGGATTAAATTGCTCCCAAATTCCTGTATATAGGTCCTTTATGTGCTATGTTCAATCTGAAAATAACTTTTTTACATTTGTTTTCAGCTACTCCTTTCTTAAAGGAATAACCTTATTTCTTAAAGGAATAACCTATAACTCCTTTGAGAGATATGTTAACTATATTCTAAGTGCTAATAAGTTAGATTTTTTTTTCGAGTTTCTATGGATTATCTACAGTTCCAATTCAAAAACATGTGTCTCTTGTTATAATCCTAGTTTTTACTGTAAACTGGCAAGTTCCTGTTGGTGTCTGTAATCCTAATTTATTTAAGAAATACTACTATTACAAAAAGTATAAAAATTTCTCAAAAACTTTCCCATTGCCTCTGTGGAGAAAAATGGCTTTAAATGAATGTGAGACATTCTCATCTTTGAAATATGGGTGGCAAAAAGGGGGATAATGGTGGTGGTTATTTTATGATTACTTATTAGTGGTTGTAATAATATAAAATAAAAGACACCAGGAGGTACTTCCTTTCAAAAATTGAATACTTTCCTTCCTTCCTTCCTTGTATAGAATGACTGAGTGGGAGTCTCTTGAATTGTTCGTCTTCCTTTTATCTAATATTCTATTAATCTCCAAAAAGATCAGTTTGAGTCTGGGAAAGGGTTTTTAATCAACACTTCACAGAGCTTAAAGCTACCCTACCTAAAGCGTCAGCTTTGTTAGGAGGTTTTAGATTTAAAGCATTGCAACTGTCACGCACTGTACTAAAAGTAAAGAATGTATACCAAGTGGAAGATGTTGAAAAGAGGGAAATAGCACAAAGTCGATTAACGGAGGTTTGAGAATAGAAGTAGCCATCAAAGCATTCCAGCGTTTACCTCGAAATCTATGTAAGGTTAAAGAAAAAGCAACAATGATAGTTTTAAGCCACACACTTAGGAGGGATGAATGTTGATTTAATTGATTCGTTTGGATCGATGTTTTTAAAGTTTCACACCACCGATCTTTCATGTAGTGATGTCTTTAGCAGTCAGTGGTCTGACATGAGCCTTCTCAGATTTCATCAGTGCTGACTCTCCATGACATCTAAAATTATGCAACAGCCCTGTGCAATGGTAACTTGAGAATTGGGAGACCTCAATGCCAAAGAGCATGATTAAACTGAAGAACTCTTAATTCTTAGCACAAAGGTTTTAAAGAAGTAATAACTGTAAATGAAGGTTGAAGTCACCAAATATTACAGAGTTGGCTTTAATTGCTAGGTGGGAGAAAGTCATCCTGAAAGTTTGACCATTAAGTGGACATCACACAGTGACCAGTATTTTCCCCTTGAATGTAAAAAGCTTGAAAATGGAAATCTGACTTAATCCATGAGGCCTTCCAAGCAACTTTCCCAGTCCTTTGCCTTGAGATTTGTGAAAAACCTTTCACTATATTCTTTGTATTGTTGGAGTTGAATTCTGTTGAAACAGACGTAAGACATGTTTCTAGAAAGAAATCTGGAAAGGTTCTGCATCTTTCTTTTCCTTGGCTTATTTCATTGGGTAATATGGAGAACTGTCATAGGTAAAATAATGTTGAACTGTACTTTGTGGCCAGCCTGCAGTACCAATACAAAGAATCTGAAATGAAAAGACAACCAACACCCCCAAGAATAATATGTCTCTTTTTAAAGTTTACAATTTGAATAATGAATTTGGATAGAAACTTGGCAGGAAAACAAACCATGGCACCATCACATCACCAACCATTTTCACTTTTCTGTCCAATTTCAGAGTGCATGTGTTTGTGCGTATTTCACTAGATCAGTGACAGCTCTTTATTTGCATAATTATATGCTCTGGTCTGAAGAGAAAACTAACCCCCAAATTTCATGGGTCACCAAACTGCAACAATCAATGTTTTATCACGTATGCTAAGCAAAATCTAAGAAGCTATATGAAGTTTCTTGGGGAGTTTTTACTCCTCAGAAAATTAAAGAGTTTTCCTCTCCTGAATAGATTCAAAATCTTTCCAAGTTCTTTGTAACTGAATTCTGTTTGAAGGCAAAACTAGAGATTAACATGTAGATCTGGATCGTAGACTCACTAGCATTACTTCAAAGTGGCCTAAGAAGAGCAGCATTTTTGGTGCACTAAACTTTTAAATTGTAAGTACTATCCTTCATTCTATGAGGAAAAAATATTGGTCAAATTATGATTAGCCAAACTGAGGTCCAAATTAACTATAACTGAGTATAAAGTTCATTTCCTTCTTTGCGATAACTCAGGGTTTTTTTTAAAGACCTA